ATCAAAATTATGCAGTAATTATACATTTTAACATTTTTCCCACACATAATTTTTCGATAATTTGCCTATTATGATTGCTCAAAGCCAGTAATTTCAGGTTCTTGTCCACTGGAAAAGCTGTATGCAGCTTTGGAGAAATTGAAAGGTGAAGATTACTTGCGTGTGCCGGAATTTACGCATGCTAGCAAAGAAAAGCCACATGGGAATGTGGTGAATTCACGTTTATCGATGGGAAATCATCTCACTAAAACAACTTTACGAAAAGCACCCTCTGGTTTGTTATTTAGGAATTTCATTTTAGAATAAAAATCACTATCTTTTCACTATCTTTTCGCTCTATTTCACTGCTTAGAAGAGGCTAAAGCACTTGGAAGTAGCCCGATTAGTTCTAAGATTGCTTAGAAGCAGTTTGAGAGGTGATATTTACTTCTTAAATTACATTAATACTGGTTTTTTTACCCGGAAAAAATTGGTTTTCCATGAGAGCAGCGCCGTTTACTGTAGCCCCAAATTGGTCGATTTTTGCTAAAAAATTGAAATAAAAATTGAAAATTAAAATTCACATTACTTGTTTTATAATCAGTATATGTACCGTTTTAATAGAAGCGAAAGTTATGTTGTACACATAGTCAATTTTAGAACTAATAAATAAATGAGCTTATTCTCTATATGTCGGGTGAGAGGCCGTACTGATGCTTCACACTAATACCTTTAGTTATTACTGTATCGTGGTTTACAGCTAAGGGATGAAACACAGACTGTTTACTCGTATTTTTATGTTTATGAAGGATTTTACTGCTTCAAAACGGATACAGTTTAAATTTTTGTAGGATATTTTTTGTTTTTACTGATTAGCCATAGTTTTGTCGTTTTTTTCTATAATGAATTTAAAAAAACCTCCCATCAGGGCAATTTTTGCAGAAAGGCTTGATGTTAGTGACGTTACTAGGATGATTCCACAAGCCGGCCATCGCTCAATATTTTCTAAAGAAGCATATGTAGAGAAAATATCATTTATAGCATATATGCTTTTTTAATAGTTACTTTTAATAGTATCAGCTTCTCAGTAAATGCAGGGGATTTTTCCAGGTATTAGTAAATAAAGGGACTTTTTGAATTATACTTTTTTTCTTGCAGCGAATGGACCCGCTCCACGTATCCCAGCAACTCGTGCCGCACCAGTACAAAACAAAGCTCCAGTCAATGAGGCGCCATTAAAAAAAGTTGTTAAGTAGGTTTTTCCTGCAAGAAGTTCATAGTTTTTTTTCTTTTTTTTCGGCTGAAATTGCGATATTTTACATAAAAATTAAAATCTTTCCCGACAATTTTGAATTTTTGGAGTTCATGTTTTGAATTTTTTCGATTTTTTTTTGTGGTTTTTTGCGTTTATTTATTGGGAATATCGAGTTTTTTTTATTGCGTTTGTTATTTTTTTGGAAATATTCCAGTTCAGTGGAATTTCAGACAACCACTAACAGGTGCAGCGCTTTCGCGCCCCACAAGCGCTCCGAAAAAACCAGCAGCACAGCCACTGGCAAAGCCACCCACCACTCCAACAACCACTAACAGAACTGCTCATGCAACTGAAAATAAACTTGCGAACAAGTCAGGAAAGCCGGCAAATGATGCGAAGAAAATCGGTGCTCCAGCAACGAAGCCAAAAGAAGGCGCTAAAGAAAAAATAAAGCCAGTCGAGAAACCAGCTACTGCACCAGAAACTACAGTTAGTGCACATTATACTTTGAATTACGCCCGGGTTGTTTACTTCAGCGCCGAGCCGCGATTTCCCAGATTCCATGTAATATCCCCCAGTTGTCCAAGTACCGCATTTACAGTCATGCAGTACTTTGATTCTCTAAAGCAATAAACACTGAATGTTGTTTACCTGGAACATCTCTACTTTTTTTATTTGGATCAATGATCAGCAAGAAATTTTTAATGACAACTATATAAAATACTGGTAAAGCTTACAAAATAAAATTAACACTATTATTGATATGAAAATAACATGCTGTATAAATACTGGTTAGGCTTACGATGTGAAACAAGCGATTGACACTAAGCGTTTCCCTTTCTTTCCTTTCTTCCTTTTCTCATTCCTCTTCCTTTCCCATTACGCACTACGACCGTCATACTGACGAGGTCCTGTTGCGTTGAGATATGCATTTTCATGTCAAAATCTTTCCGGCGTTTTCCTCCGTTTTGTTGCCTGCGGCTTTGATCAAATTTGCTGGGCTAGACCGGAATCGTAGTATTTTATTGAAGATGTGCTGCAACTTGCTGACACCTATTATGCGTCGTTTGATGGCTTGTTGAGTTATCATTAACTCCTGCCCTCTGCAGTCATTATATTTATTTAAAGCTAAGGTAAAAAGTGAGATGAAGGAAAAAGAAGAGAAGGAGAATGAAGTGGAAAAAGGGGAAGGGAAGTATTAAAATATTTGTAATTGGTAAGAAATGTTTCGGTCCATTAGCTTTTATGGAGTATTCCATGTTTCACTTCTATGAAGAGGATCTGGTAACACAATGAAATTTGAGAATTGTGATTTTGACAGAAAGATCCTTCAGAATCATAGAAGCTTGTTTGTCGGATATTAACCCACCGGCATGATTACCGGAGTTTTATGCCACGCAATAGTACCAGGAGATAGTATAAATAGATGGAAAAGAATTGGAAGATTCGAGTTTAATATTAACGTAGCATCCGGATCAAGCAAATGGGGTGAGGCGAGGAGGGGAGGAGGC